GTCATCTCTATCCTTTTATCGCATTGTTTCGCATTTAGTATTGAGAAGAGAACAACTAAGCTTAGCTAACGTTCATCACAATTCGAATTAAGAGGTTCCCATTGAGTACAACAGACGTGAGGAGTGCTAATACCTTTCCCTTGCGTAACCGACTCCCGAACCCGAAACATCAGGTTGCAACGATCGTGTTCCTTTCGTTTTAAGAGGTTTTCTCGATATTTTCCTCTCCCGTTTATTCGGGATAAATAAAGTTCAGTGACGACTCTGTCAAACCGCATTTCCGCGTCTTTCACGTGAGGGTCGTTTTTCAAATGAATTTTCGAGGTGCGACAGGTCTTACTACATTTTGGATTTCGATTGTTTGACATTTTATTTATATATATATATATATATATATATATATATATATATATATATATATATATATATATATATATATATATATATATATATATATATATATATATATATATTGCTATTTTATTTTTGACACATAATAGTAGTCTCTTATTATTATGTACGTCTATTTTTTATTTTTGATCGTACGTTATACTTCATCTTAACATATATACAACTTATAGCATTAAATACTCGTTCTGATACACTTCGAAGATGTATATCTGAAATATTACCGGAGATGCTTCTCCGACACATTTCAAATATAAATAACTTTTGACCGTGATGTATTAAATGTTAAAAATTGTTTCGGAGATGTATCTCTGAAATATTTCAACGTTTATTTGGAAATAGGTGTGTCTGGAGATACTTCTCCGAAAACTAGAGACATTTAAATAATTTTACGTGGTGGCTAGGAAGTATCTAGGGTGCATTAAAAAACTCTTAAATACTTGATTATGTTGTTTTTTTTTTGCACACATGATCTGATGTTTTTATTATCCAAATTAATTCGAAGTTTCATGGCTTGCAAATGGAGAATATAGACATTTGTTTTCTGGGATGTATAATTTAAATTTATAAGAAGATAAAGTAAATTTGTGTTTTTTTTAACTATGTACATAAGAAATTTAAGGTGAAGATGCATTTTTTTTATCCAAGGGGAAGACACTTATAGTTGGAAATATCTATTCATTCATGGTGCACTCAAATTTTCATCGGTAAACACTCAAAACATCATGAATGCATGAATAACCCTTTTATGTCTCAGTCTGTCAATTATTATGCTTGTAAGGTAAAGTAAGGCATATCATTAATGCACACAAACAACACACAAACAAGAAAATTTATTTAAAAAAATATACTAAAGGAAATTTCGGAGATGCATCTCTGAAAGCACCATTAAACTAAAACGTTGAAATATTCTATAGATGCATCTCTGGAAGCACCATTAAACTAAAACGTTGAATAATTCCAAAGATGCATATCCGAAATTTCCTAAACTATATGAAATGCTGAACAATTCCGGAAATGCATCTCCGAAATGTTCTACAACTCAGAAATTGCGTCAATGGCGAGTGTACTACATGCAACTTGACAAAAATATGATTTGATCATAAAGTTCAACCAACAAACAAGTTATACATTAAGTTTAAACTATGTTACATGTGATTCATACACATTTCTAACTCTAATAATTGATTTTTACATATTTACAATAAAACTCTAAATTTACTGAAATCTCAAAAAACTTGCTTGAAATTTTTGATGCAGTTGAATGATGTTCCCTTGAGTTTCTTTGAGCGTTGCATGATGAATTTTGATTTGGTGAAGTTTAAGTGTATTGAGAGTTTGAATTGAGATTGAAGAAAAGTGTGAAATGAAAGAGAATAGTATGATACGACTTATGCTCCAAAATGGTTCGAAGATATATCTTTGAAATATTTCAACGTTGCCTTACATTTGAATGTGCCCGAAGATATATCCGCGAAATCAAAAAATACTTATAAAATTTTACATGATACATTAAAACTATCAAAGGTGCAATAAGAAATTATAAAAAATATTCCATGAAAATTATTCACAGCTGCTCATCCCACTATGAAATATGGACTAAAGTATACAGTTGCTCATCCCGCTATGAAAGGCCTTTAATATGGACTAAAGTATAGTGCATTTCTCCTCTCAAGTGACCAGACATTTTAATTTAAACTAGACATCTCTTGACGGAGTGTAATCTATCTCTCTGAATGAGTCTATCTATCCATGTTTTGTGCTTTAAGCTTTAAAACGAAAAGGAATAAAGCACTAGTTCTATGCCATATTAACTAGCACCTTGTATCAATCTTTGTTAAACTACTTTCATTAATGCTGTGTCTTGAAATCAGTTATTGACTCTGGTGTGTTGTGTCTTGAAATCAGTTATTGAAGTGTTTAAGCTAAGTAGATGGAGAAAGCTACTGCAAGGTGTGTTGTGTCTGGAAAGCAGTTATTGAAGTGTTTATACACTCATTTCTGTTTTTTTTTTTTTCTTTCTGAAAATATACTTCTAGAAACTTTCCTGAAATGTATTTCCAAAATAAATTTATTTATAAAATTAAAATGTGACTCAAAAACATGTGTATTTAAATTCATTCGAAAATCCATCTCCAAAAAAGATTTTTAGAAATTCATGTGATGCATTAGATACATATGGGTCCTTTAAGAAATTCTCTAATCTTTTTTATTCAAATTTCATCCAATACCACCACCATCACCATCACCAATCAAACATACTAGACAATGAAAATTAAATTAGAAGTCAACCCAACCAAATAGAAAATGGAAGGTGAATAGCCACCAATATGAATCTATAGATCATATGTCCAAAACAAATTTCAACAAGACTGTAATAACCAGTACTCATTGTATGAATTCCAGTTGTATTGCATATAAGCACTACATCGTTGTGCCCCGTACTAACAATCATACAATCATGAAATTTTTATACAAGGAGACATGATAATCAAGGGGCGAGGGGCTGAGTCTTCAGTCACCTCCTCTGTACAGCCCGTAAAGATGCTGCCTTTGGCATGCTTCAAATGAGTTTTAACTGCTATTCTGCTACACCTCAAAATGCAATACCTAGAAACTCAGAAACTGCAGCATGGAAATTTGCATGCCGTGAATTAAGAATTGCTGCATTCCAACATAGAATTTCATAGATTGACTTTCAACTCCCTAGTTAAAAAATCGTAAAAATTTCACAACAAATTGGATTGAATCACCAACCAGTTTAGCTGTAAAAACATGCAATCCAATCACACGGCACAGTAAACACAAGCACCTACACAAACCCTAAATAAGTTCAACACTGTTAAGCTCAAAGAAAGTCTGCTGAGTAGTCAGAATTGCTGGTAGATGATTATTCTCTGTGCATCGGAGATGACTTCAGTAAATAATGAGGAAAAAAATCTAGCCAAAATGGTGCAATTAATTGCGGCTTTGTAGTTAGTCAAACTCAATTATTAGTATATAGTTATGGTTAAGGAAACAAAATGGGTTTACAAGTTTGTTAGGTGGAGTATATAACATTTAATCTATGTGTTCTAGGCTTTACGCTCCCTAGTCCTTTGTCATTGTTAATTTCTGTCACACTGACAAAATGCCCTGAGTTCACTGACAAAATGCCCTCAGAACTCAAAAGTCCATTCACGTGTGTTTTTGTAATTCTTCTTCTTAACATTGTAAGTTGTACCCTTTGCCTCCCCTCTCTCTCTCTCCCAAAATATGAAAACCAAGCAACAGCAACAGCAACAAAACAACCAAGCCTTAGGCGGTATAAGCTACATTGTTCAAACAATGATATAATATTTTATCATAGATAAAATATGCAGCAAAACAATTGACCTTCAAGTATTTCCTAATAGTTTCTCCTACAGTTTTTCTTGGTTTTCCACCTTCATCTGATATACTCTCCAAGTCTCCTTACTAAGGAATCTACATGTATCCCAAACCACCTAACTTGAGATTCAACCATCAGTTCTACAGCAGGAAAAAAACCATGAATAATATATTTTTGGCTTGATGAACTTTTACCGTAATAGTTATTCTTCCTTCTTTTCTTCCCCTCCCTACTGATAAAGTTAGTAGAGAAAACTTACGTTTTTCGAAATTTTAGGCATTCTATAGAATTCTAGGAAGTTAAACGAAAGCTGATTGCTTAATGTGTCGGGATGAACTTGTTTAAGATGTTAACAAATAACTCAACACAAACACTCATGAAGTAATGTTGTGGTTGTGATTATTCGTGTAAGATCAAATTCACAGTTCACATAAGTCACAACTCCCAATAAACAGTGACCTCTCATGCTTAAAGCAATGTAGTATGTATAATATACAAATATAAATGAGCACAAACAATTATGTTTCACAGTTCAACCTGCAATCTGCAATCCGTTTTCTCTTTTCCTAAGCCAATGATGACCATGGCTACTTTCAATTAAAACATTGACAGTAACCATGCAATTGAAAAAAATATTGACCAGCAATTACAAGAGTTTTTATGTGAAAAGGTGAAGTATATGCAAAGTATGTTTATCTCAGTTATGACCATAATTGAAATTGGAAATGCTACAGAATATTTATGCACATGTAACCATTTTTTAGAATTGTAAATGTAACACATGGCAGAGCTTAATTTTGGTAATCACACTTTTTTAGCATCATCAATTCGATCATGTTTAACACAGTAGTAGGAAATTTGACTTTTTAATAAGCTATTATCATAGTCAAAATATTTTAATGAGCACTATTTTAATGATAGTGTACTATACAATTTTTTAACAATGAGTGGATCAAATTCAAATACTATAACTTAACATTGATAAGAACAAATGAACGATGAATTCTGGATTACAGTGCAGGTAGCAAGCATTGATAGTCAAATGAAATAATAAAGCATCAACAATGTTGATGAACTGTTCAAATATACATAATATGTAGCAAAGCACAATCATAAACTAACTTATTATGCATTAGTTAAAGCATATATCCAGAAGTTATAACACAGCTAAAAACAGAGTGATAACAAATACCTCTACACATTATTGTTTCACTAAAATTCTTCATGTGAATCCGGAGAAGTCCTTTGGTGGTTCAATCCATATGCTTTCAAAAGGGTCTTGTTCGCCCCAGTCATGCCACTGCTTACGAGGATAGTATCGATAGTCGTCAAGAGAGAACGATACACAACGCTTTCCATAAAAACGAACTTTAGAAAAGTAGATACTGTTCCTCATTATTCCAGAGAGGTCAGTCCTTGAATGAGAAGACAAGAAACTAGCAAAAAGAGTTGCTCCATCTAGTGTTTTTAGCTCTTCCCATTCCATTAATGCCTGATCTAACTTGAAAATAATAGGGTTTTCACTAGAACAAGTATAAATTACTATAACATCTCCTTCTTGCTCGGTCATAAATTTCCCCTTCCACCAATTTTTGGCGAAAAAATTCTCTGGGCATTTGGGCGGAGGTACTGATAGAACACTCCAAGTCCGTTCAGATGGATCAAATACCCCTAACCAACCTGTTAGACTCAGGCAATAAAAAAGTCCATTACAAAACACAAGCTTATTCCATATGCTACTGACAAAGGGCAGGCGGTTTTGGTAATTAACAGTTGTCCACTCAGTTGCCCCGGGGTGACATGTGCTGATGGCCACAACAGTAGGACTTACATGCTTAACAGTGAACAGCACGCAGTCAGGTGATGTTGGAGCACAGGAGAAAGCAACTATCTGGTATGTCATCTCAAATCTTGGCATTTTGATGATCTCCCGAGTAAAGGGATTAAAGAAAAACACTCGGTCAGTTCTTGGCCGGTATAGCAGTAACCAACCATCTTTTGTATAACAAACTCTAGATCCATTCAGCTCTGAAAACTCCAGGGAATAAGTCTTCCGCTGCACAGGGTCATAGAACTCATACCACTGACCAAATTTCGGAAAATACATTAACCACGGCGATTGGTTAACCACACGTACAGAATTGGCAACAGAATTCCAACTCTTACAAACCACAGACGCACGAACATTATCGTCTAGGGCTAAACTACACATGATTATTTCTAAGAGTTCTGCAGGGAGATCAGACCATGATTGCAACTCCAAATTATCATTTTTCACCTCTGTTGCTCCCCTTTTGCTATTAGCGATAGTATCACTTAACCTAAATAATTAGATATGCATGTAAGAGTTCTACCCAACAAATCCACTTGAATTCTCTTAAAATGCAACATCAAGGGTATAAATTATTAGCATTTTATGTCTTAATTAAAACAAAACTAGATAACATAATATTAATAACTAGGAACACAGTGAGAATTATATCAATCAGAGAAGTAAAAAAAAAAGAAAAAAAAAAACACGCATTAATTAACTTAATTCTCTAAATTCTTTGAAATTAAACACGTGTAATATCTTGTTACAATTAAACACATCACTAGATGATTAAATTAAACTAAAAAGAAAACATGCATCACAATTTCATCCAAGTTATATAACATCTGGTCTCACTAATTTGATCCATAAACCCTAATGTACTCAATGTGATAAACTAGCCGCAAACTTGTTCAAATTTGTGAAATTCAGAGTTCAGATTCAACAATTAGACATGAAAACAATAAAATCCACAAATCCATGCAGAGATCCAACATTGAGAATCAATTTTCAGATATATATACTGTGATTAATTGGAAGAAAAAAAATGAATTATAAATTAACGATGAAAATTCGCAACTGGATTTGAGAGAGAAGTGACTTACAATTTCAACTTCCTCTTCTTTTTCCCTGACATTAATCGAAATTTTGCCTCTGATGAAGTCGCGTTGTTGTTCTAGAGAGAGAGAGAGAGGAATTGAGAGAGAAAAGAGAGAGGAAGTGGAAAGTGTGTCAACAAGAGAAGAAAGAAATGAAATCACGTGGATATATCAGTGAATCAAGTTGAGTGACGGCACTCGCACGTGCGAGGCGGCTACGCCTTTGTTACCTGTACACGAAAAACGTGTGAACTCTTCTATATGGACACGATGGATATATCTATCTAGTTACTACAATACAACTATAATTCACGTGACCGTCACGTGGTGTCACCCCACCACTTTTTTTTCTTTTCTTTCTTAACTAGTTATTGCATAGATAATGATTATTAATTACATATTATAATAATAATAATAATAATAATAATAATAATAATAATAATAATAATAATAATAATAATAATAATAATCTATAACAATATATAAAGGCAATAGATTGTTTTGGTGTAGCTTTTTTTTCTCCAAATTTATCCTTTTCAATTTTTATTTTAAATTTTTATTTTTTTCTCACAACGGCGGTTACACAAAGGTTTATTAACCGCCAACAGTTTATTATTTTTCATATCATTATCTTTAATTATTTTATAAATAGTTTATAATTAAATTAAAATTAAATAATTTATCTAGGGAACATGGAATTTTAGACTGACTTATTTTTATTTCTATTTTATCCTTTAAAATTTAATTTTAGTTAATCTTAAAAACAAAATCTATAACAATATATAAAGGCAATAGATTGTTTTGGTGTAGCTTTTTTTTTCCAAATTTACCCTTTTCAATTTTTATTTTAAATTTTTATTTTTTTTCTCACAACGGCGGTTACACAAAGGTTTATTAACCGCCAACAGTTTATTATTTTTCATATCATTATCTTTAATTATTTTATAAATAGTTTATAATTAAATTAAAATTAAATAATTTATCTAGGGAACATGGAATTTTAGACTGACTTATTTTTTTTTTCTATTTTATCCTTTAAAATTTAATTTTAGTTAATCTTAAAAACAAAAATACAAATAAAAAAATAAAGCTTTTTATTAAATGATGGTAGTTATTTTGAATTGTGGTAACTCCATAACTCCTAGAGTTGGTTTTTTATTTTTATTTTTATATATAAACCTCTCAAGATGTAATGCATAACATAAATACAAATTTAGAGTAAAAAAAACATGTTCGTTTAATGTTTCATCCAATGATTCTTCATAATTTATGGTTTGTGGGTGGTTAATAATTTATTTCTTTTTCATTGTTTGTATTAGAAGTCTTATGGAAGTTCCAATGTTTGCTTTTGTGTTGTTTTTGTATTCGAGAGCAACATCAAGATTGAAACTAATTCATGCTTATATTTCGGGACTTATTACACTAGCATTTTGTTCTGGTATGGGCCTCACCTCGGCAGGCCCAATACCGCATGCGGCCCAACAAGCGAACCGGGCACGCCAGGCACGCGCCTGTCGCTACTGCGAAAATCGGCGCCGGCTGAACAGAAGAGTCGCCACCGTGCGTTATTTATCCCACGGGAGGGAAAGGAAACGCTCAGAGTAAACCTCGCACAATACGGGAAAGGTATGGTCATCGCAACCAAAACCTGGATTCGGGAGTCGGTTACGCAAGGGGAAGGTATTAGCACCCCTCACGTCCGTCGTACTCGACGGGATCCACGCTTGTTTTCGGGTATGGATTGTTATTCTATCTAAACTATAGGTCAAGGGTTAAAAAGAAAATAAAATGGAAATAAAAATGACTCGGCAAAGTATCGCACTTTATGCCTACGTATTCCCGTTTGGAACGAGAAATCAGAGTCAACGTAGTTCGCCTACCTACGGGAAAGGAGGGGAAGGTTGCTCGCTAGGATATCGTATCCTATGCCTACGTACTTTCATACAGCATGAAAGATCAGAGCAAACGTAGTTCGGGCCACGTACGACACAAGTCTGTCCTGGTTGATTTTATTCCTTCTGAAAAAGGTTTTCTGATTAGCGGTCCAAGCGGACAAAAATGACGTTTTGGTGAGTTCACATTCTTTTACGGAAGAAGTGTCTTTTATTGTGTTTGAAATCTTTATGTGTTTTTCTGTTTGTTTTGAGAAAGAAAGAGACAGAACTCTAACCTACGGTTGCGAAGGGAAACAAACTAACCTAATGTTATCATGCATGGGTTAAGACCTAGTGTCTATCATGCTCCTCTCTTGTACAGAGAAAAACAGAGATCCTAAGGGATAGGCAGAAACGGAAACAATAACAGATATATACAATAAGACAGTAAAATGCATGGATGCAGCAATACAAGCGAGGCAAGGGAGTCCCACTCAACCTCGAACCTAGAAAACAATAGGCGAAAGTGAACAGACTTCACTCTCAACCCAGCAGGGTAAACAACAAACAATACAGTTCAGAAAACCAATCAATACATCAGCAAATGAAATACAGCAAAAGAAACAGCATCAGCAGCTCTAAATCAACAACTGGCTTCAAGCAATCTCCAATCATTCACAAGCTTCAACAAGCATCAATCTCCATCTTCATGGCCTTCAGGCAAGGGCTTTGATCATCAGTCTTCCATCTGCAATGGCTTTTCTTCAAGCTCAAACCTCCAGGATGAGGGATTAGTCACAAGAGTGAATTGGGTGTTAAGCAGTCAGCTGACTACCAAAGGTGGTGAACAGACTGCTTCTAACACAAGAGACATTTTCTCTCAAGAGTTCTATCTCATAGACACTATCACCAAGCCTTCCAAAGGAAGGGGGTGAGTGTCTTAGAGAGACTCTGAATCACAGAGAAGAATGGATGCAGACAAGGCAATCCATGTTTGAGAAATAATCATTCTAACCTAGAGCTCTGCCTAGCTCCTAAACCCTAGTCTCCTCAGCAACTGCTAGCAAGAAACTCCTCCTCAACTCTGACAGTTGATCTTCAGCATTTGACTCTTCAATGGCTTCATCTCCACCAATCTTCAGCTTCCCCAGGGCCCCAGACAAACCCAATATCCATACAAACAATCAATAAACCCCAGAGGGCACACCACACCAAACAACAGATATACAGACAGTAATAATAGCAGTAGGGGAATCCTAACTTTTCTAAGGGATCTAATAACTACCCATAGCCCCTATAGTCCCATAACTAATCTATTCAAACCCTAAGTCCTAAGGGAAATGAAATCAAACTCCTAAGTTGTCACCTAAAAACCCTAGTTTTGTTCATGATATTCAAGCACTTATTAATCACCTAAAATTAACTCCTAAAAAAGGGAACTAAAATATTCCTACAAGCTTAACATCTCATCTAAACAATATGAAAAGAATGATCAAAAAATATTAAAGCATGTGAGAGAACAAAAATCATAAAAATAATGCATGAAATGAATCTATTTATTATGACATTTATTTAGAAAATATGAAAAAAATATGAAATAAAACTAAAAATGAAAATTTATTTTCCTATAATATTCTAGACATTTTAATGAAAACATGGTAAAAAGAATGAATTAAAAAGCATTTTTTATGAATTATTTATGAATTTTCAAAGATTAGTAAAAATTAAAATGAAATAAGAAATAAAATGAATTAAAATGAGGGAGGGGGGTTAGAATAGTAGGCGCGCTCAGTTCAAAATCACAATGGGCCAACAACAGGGGGGTGTTGGTAGCGCTTCTGGCAAGGCCCAGAAACAACTCAGAGTTCCACACACGCTGGGGGGTGAGAATAGAGTAGAAATCACGTTCAAATTCATGTTGGGCTTAGAATAGGGGGTGGAAATATCAACAACCAACTCAGGCCCGCCCGTTTCAATTAATGAAACGGTGCGTTTTGGCCAGCGCTTCTCCCTCCAAAACTCAGCTTAAATCTCAGCCTTAGGATCACTATCCAGGTCAAAGGTCTTGCACCAAATAGACGATCCAGATTTCGTCTTCTTCCTCAATCCAACTGAATTAGGGTTTCAGCCACCATGAACCTCATGCACGAGCAACTTTCCATCCCTCTGTTCTCACTCTACAGGCAACCAATCCACACGATATAAACATGAAATCTGCTCCAAATCTCTCCCTCTACAAGCTTAGGGCATCAATTCGCTTTGAATTTCACCACATCAACAAATTCGATTGGATCCACACTCGGCCTCCATTGAAATGCACTGATATGCATCATCACCAATCTCAATCAAACTTAACCTAAATTAAACTACACCTAATGGAGATCAACACATGCTATCAAGTTGCAATTATAACACACTCATCCAAGAGATTCGAACACAAACAGTTCATTACACCTGTCACTAACCATCACCAAATCTCTCCAAATTCATCTAACTTAATCTCCTAACCACCTAGATCAATTCTACACTAACAAAATCATGCCTAACTAACTAGATCGAGCTGTTTGAATGAAAACTTACCTTGTGCAAAATCTTGCAAACAGCTATGGAGATTGATGATTTGAGGCTTTTGAGACTTGGATCTTGATCAATCCTTGATGAACTTGATTCTGTATGCAAGCTTTGGATGAGATTTGGCCAGAATTATGCTATCCACTTGCAACTTCAATCTTGATGCTCTTGAAAAAAAGTGCTCGAAAATGGATGATTCACACCAAAACTTTGCTTCAATTATGATCTATGATGATGATGGAATCAGATTGAGTTGATTTTGATGCAAGTTGATGAAGGTTTTGAGAGAATTGTAATGAAACTCCAATGAAAAGGTGTGAGAAATTTTGTGGAATTCTTGGTGCAAATGAGGCCAACCCTTGCCAAATTCTCCTTTCATGAATATATAGACCCCAAATGAACATTCTAGATCCATCTTGCACATTCCCTTGTTTTCAAACTTTGGCTCATTTTTGATTATGTTTCTTAAATGATAAGCAACCATGGATAACTTCATTTTTTCCTTCTAAACTCAAAAGAGTGGGTGAACCATTGTTCTTAGAATTGTTTTTCCATTCAAAATCATATATTGGAAGTCTCCATTTGGACTTGTA